AGCTTATGGACTTTCTATTTCCATAGTGGAGCCCTTGAGACCCTCATCTTCTTGTGTCCAGCTCAAGGTCTACTGAGGCTCATGGAACTTTTTGTCTGCTGGGGACATCTGGAAGGATCCCTGGTAGCATAGTGGTTAAAGTGCTTGGCTGCTAATTGAAAGTTCGGCTATTCGAACCCACCAAGCACCGTGTGGGAGAAAGATGTGGCAGTCTGCTTCTGTGAAGATTTACAGCCTTGGAAATCCTCTGGGCAGTCTACTCTGTCTTACAGGGTTGTTATCAGTTGGAATCAACTCAACAGCAATGAGTTTGGTTTTGGTTTTGGGACATGTGGCATCTGTGGTGAAGTCATGCCCTGGCAGTGGTCTGTCCTGGGTCCCTGATTCCCCAGGCCTCTGGCTTCCATCCTTCCCTCTCATTTCCCCATCACTTGTCACTCAGTTAATGCCTCTGCTCAGCCTGGAAACGTTTTTTCAATGACAATCAAATAATTAAATGAATAAAATTGTAGGTTAAAAATCTTGAGCAGCGAAGTAGCAGATGACGTTGTGTGGGCAGCAGCCCAGGGGACACAGAACACACGTCTCCTGAGTGGGTGGCCTTATAAGGACAGGTTCAGGAGAAGAATGGGCAGGAGAGTGGGCCATCCGCCAGGAGAGTGGGAGGCTGGGCAGGGGTGGGTGTCTGGCTGCTGGGCTCAGCATGGAGCTGGCAGGGGTGCTGGCTAGGACCCAGTTCTACATGGGGAGTTGGCAAAGTTCCACTTCCAGGGGAACTTGATGGGCCAAAGCTCATCTGTCTGTCTGCGTTCACTGCCATCATCACTGGACAGGCACTGGCCTGTTCTCAGTCAACTGCCCCACTCATCTGTGCCACCAGCCCAGCACTGGGAACCTTCCCCTACTTCTGGCCCAGCAGTGCCGGGCATTTAGCTATTATGCAAGAAAGGTTTGTGGGGTGGAAGAATTAGTAAATGAATGGCTTTTTGATGGTAGTTTTGGCCCATCCGTTGGGCTGTAGCACCTGAAACACGGATGTGTTTTCTCTTTTTTGAGGGACCAGCACAGGATTGGGTGCTTAAAAAAGGATTTTTGGGGTCAGTTGAGTGGGTGTGCCCTTGAGTAGAGCAATCAGTTCTTGCCCTGCTCAGGATCACCCTTGTCTCCAGCATGAAGGTACTGCTCCCTTCTGCCCCAGTTTCCTCCAGATAATGTCTGCGGCTGGTTTTTTTTTTTTTTTTTTCTTCCATAAGGACAATGTGTAAGAGCGAGGGACAGAGACAGAGAGTTTCTGGGAGAGTCCTGATTGTCTAAGTGTTCCTCAGACCCCAGCATGTCTGGGAACAAGGCTCCATCCTTAAGGATCTGAGGGAAATGAGAGCTGTGAACTCGGAAGTCACTAGTACTGGAAGCTTCCTCAGTGCTCATTAAGAAAGACTCTTCCCAAATCTTCCTGAAGCCCCAAATCCTCCTTGCAATGAGTCTTACAGACAGCTGGATGCCCAAATGAGTTGAGAAGCTGAGAGGGTCACTCCTTCCCTTTGTCAGCTTTTACTGTGACTAAAGTTCCACCATTTATGTGCTTCTGAGTTAAGCACTGTCTTTTCCCCTAAGTAAAGAATATACCCTTGGAAGGTATTCTCTAATCACCAGATAAGAGGACAGGGCAGCTAGAGGTTGGGGAGAGGGGCTGGGGAGAAATGTGGCAGGAGACAGCTGAGAGGGAGTGAGGTCCAGGAAGGACCCTGACTTTTCTACCTGATCCTTGGAGGCCAACTGTGACCCGAGGGTAGCGTATCTCCCTACCCTCCTCAGAATGGATCCAGGGGCTGATTACCCAGTAAGCAAGGTAAACCCAGGCTTGCTTGTACTTAGTTACTAATCCGTAGTGAATAGTTTCATGTTTTCTACCACATCAAAGATGTGAAACCCACAGTAAGGATTCCCTGTCAGAGAATGTAAATTTGAAAAGAGGCTTTGATTCTGTAGGAAGGTGCTGTGGAGCTGGAAGAGAGACAGATGTCAGTCATACCTGGAAGCAGAATCTCTGATGTGAAGAAATGTGTAATTGTTCACTACCGATTAGTGAGTAAGCACAAGTAAGCCTGTGCTTACCTTGCGTATTGGGTAACCTGACCTGCAAAGGGCTCTGGAGGCTCTTCAGCTGGCGCTGGTCCTGGTGCCAGAAGAATGTTACCAGCTGCGGAAGGTTGACTCAAGGAGAAGCAAAAGCAGCAAAGGTTCCTCCCAGAGGTGAAAGAGGAGCAGTGCCATCTGTGGTTCAGCCAGCCCGCTCCAAGCCTGGCCTGAGGCCCTGACCTCTGGGAGGGGCTGCCCTTACCCACACATTCAATCCTGCTAGCACAGGCAGGTAGGTACCCAGAAGGCATGCAGAAGGCCTGCTCTGCTTCCACTCTGTTCTAAACTAGAAATGTCCCTTGTGTAGAGTTATATATATAACACAACAAAACTCTCTTGTGTGGTTGCCTAAAATTCTGCCATTAGTCATGTATTATTTTCGGTTTAGTATTGCCCCTCTGTGGTAGGCTGAATAATGGCCCCCAAAGAGGTTCACATCCTAACCCCCAGAAATTGTGAATATATTACTTTACCTATTCCAGGTGGTACTCCCAGAATCCTCTGCTCTGGCCACCTTCTTAAACATTGCTGACCAGAGAGACTGAGTCACTAGGGAAAGGTTCTACCAGGTTCCCTGAGTTTGGTTATAAATGTTGGAGATTTGTTCACCATAATAATGAGAAGGATGATCATAGTAATGATAGTAGCAGGGCTTCAAACCAGCTCATTCTGGTTTGACACCCTGCTGAGACGGAATGAACTGGTTTGAAGCCCTGGATAGTAGTAATGATGGAACAAGGTAGGTTGTAGGGGCCGTTAAGTTGCTTCTGACTTATAGCTACTCTGTGTACAACAGAACAAAATATTGCACCATACTCACAATAGTACTAGAAGACAGTGTTTCACTGCTATTCATAAGGTTTTTAGTGGCCAATTTTTTCAGAAGTGGATGGCCTCATCCTTCTTCAGTCTGTCTCAGTCTGGAAGCTCTGCTGAAACCTGTCCACCATGTGTCCATCTGCTGGTACTTGAAATAGCAGTGGCATAGCTTCCAGTATCACAGCGACATGTAAGCCACTGTAGTATGACAGATAAACTGACAGGCAAGTGGTGGAAGGCAGGAAATAAGTATGTATAGACAAGTAAATAAAACTAGATAACATACCACAAAGTTCCTATGCACTATCCCACAATCATCCCAACTGGGAAGTTTTAGCATCTGTTTATGGATAAGCAGCTGAGGAAAAGAGAGGTTATGTGACTGTCAAAAGGCTACACAGCTAGTTGGAGATAAGTTGTAGTTCCAGCCCAGCCCTGACTTCAAGTCCATCCCTCTAACACCAGGCTATTCTACCTCCTAAAAAATATTTTCAACTAACAGTTCTCCCATTGATGTCTTATTTTAATCAAACAGCAGTTTTCTAGGGATGGAAGAGTTTGGGGCAGGTGGGAGAGAATGGGAGGAGTGACATGGGTTGGGGAGCCCTGTGGAATGAGTGAGGACCAGCCAACTGGCCACATCTCATCAAGAGAACTTAATAAAGTAGCAGACCAAGGACAGGACAATTCTTTTAATCAGAACATGAATAGCTTTGGATCTAAAATTGCACCATAAAAATTGAACTTTAATTTGTACTGTCTTTCCCAAGTGTAATTTTACTTTTGGCTACAGAAATATGACTAACTTTATGCCATCTTGCCTATTTTCTCAAATCGTTTTTGCACTGCCTACAAGTTATTCAAAGCAAGTTTTAAGCACGAAGAATATGTTTAATGTGATTTCAAGCTGGCATCAAGGCTTAGTGGAAAGCACCCAGGGGCTGAATGGGCCTCCAGAGACCTGAGTTCTAGTCCCAAACTTGGTCTGTAGGCCTAGAGAAGATCCTCCTCCCCGTTCAAACAGTGTGTCTCGCTAGATTGGAGCTCTGAGAAATGTGGAAGTTTTTGTTTGTTTTTACAGGCCCCAGCTCCTGGACCAGCCCTGTCTGCTGGGTGGAGGGGGCTGAGAGGGTTTGGTTTTGTGATAACTACCAAAGGTCTTTGCACAGGGCCAGCTGGCCAGGGTCAGGGAACCAGTGTTTTGGCCCCGTGGCCTCTGCAGCCATGGGCGGCCCCAGCAACTGGTCCCTTCAATCCCTAGGGGCCTCCAGAGTGTGGGCCTGGGGTGACTAAAGACAATCCTGGTCCCAAACTGTCCATTCCTCAAATGAGGAAGACTGATTTAGCACCACAGATTGTTACAGCAGAAGAGTGCCCAGATTGGCTGGCCTTGAGGGTCCCACACACTGGCTGTGGGCCCAGTGAGTAAGAATCCCCAGAGAGTTTCTCACAAAAAAACAAAACAGATTCCTGAGTGGCTCTTTGCCAGGCTTTCTGAATCAGAACATCCAGAGCTGGAGCCTGGCATTCTTTAACAAACACCCCAGGGGATTCTCAAGGATAACTACCAGGCCAGGAAACTTTTGAATTGGTCCAATGGGTCCCCACTTTTCTGGGTGAAACTGAGGCCCAAAGAAGCCTCAAGCCAGTCAACAGCAAAACCAAAATCAGAAGGCAGGTCTTCTGACCCCCAGTCAGATGCTCTTTCCACACCAACACCTAGAGCCCACAGAACCCAAAGGAACTACCCATCATTTATTTGTTCTTGTTTTCTTAAAATCAAAGTCACTAATGCACACAGTTTAAAGAGTCAAATACAGGTCGTTTGACAATCACTCACGCTCACTCATCTACCCTTCCACAGAGGCAACCCCTGTCAACTCTTTCAACTGATCTTCTTGGTATTTACTCTCACCATTGGCAGTTTGCATTTTACAATGAACATGCATTACTTCATATTCTTATTTGTTTTTAATAGTACAGTTAGGATGGATTGCCAAGCCACAGGACTGGCCCCCATGGACCGTGGAGTCCCCCAAGGATCACTGGGCGCAGGCCACCAGCTCCTCCAGGGCTTGCTCGCGGTGGTTGCCATGGACCAGCAGCACCTCCTTGATCCGGTCCGGCTGGAAGCCCATGTCACTGAACTGCTCCCAGAGCCGCAGGAACTCCCCGGCCTGAGGGGGTGGGGGAAGGAAGGGTATTAGTTCCAGAGAGCTGTGGTGCCCCCAGGCCAGGTGAGCCTGTTCCTGGGTAACACCTGCCATTTCCCTATATTCCTGGGGTGCCTGTGGGCCACAACCCCCCATCCTCTGTTAAGGAAGGAAAGCCCTGTCTTGGGCCTTCACTTCCTGGCTCCATCTGGTTCACACTCTCCTGTACTTGGTGCTGGGGGCAGGAAGAGCCAGGCTGCATAGTGGTGCCCACAGGACCCCTGGGGTCTTTGCTCATCCTCCAAACACTGCTGAGGTTTCATACCATGCAGCCTCCACATTCCTTCCTCCTTCCAGCCCCCTGCCCCCTAACTGTCCCACCTCATTACTCCTCCTCAGCATCTCTCCCATCCCTCTGTGCCCCCTCACTATCCCACCTCTCTGTCCACTCCCCACTCCCTATGTCCCTCCCTCAGCCTCTGTGAGGAGCTGCTCTGCTGAGCTTGGGTCAGCTGCCAACTGTGGACAGGCTGTCTTCATCAGCACTTAGAATTAACTATGCACCACCACTGTATGCGTTCTGGATTTCCAGGTGGGTGGCACACTCCCCAATCAGAGGGTACAAGCCTCTTTGTACATGGCACCTATCAGGGTGTCTGACAAAGAGGGGATGCTCGATCTACTTGTGGTGCTGACTCAATGAAATAAAACAAAACCCTTGCCTCTCTCTGTGCTTCCTGTTGGCCTCCAGCCTGGCTTCGTTCCTCCCACTCCCCTCCATGCTTCGTAACCCTGGGCCCTGCCTTCTCCCCAGGGCAGAGCAGATAGCTATGGCCTGACTCCAATCACAGGTCAGCTCTGCTTGGGCCCCACCCACCCCAGGGCCTGGGTGGGAGGCCCTGTTCACCTGGCTCTCAGAGAACTGGAACATCTCCATGGCTTCCTCCACCAGAGCCTCCTCATAGCCCTGTCGCAGCAGCCGGTCACAGGCGCTGAGGTAGCTGAGAAACTGGGTCAGAAAAGGGCAGACAGGGAGGGTCCGTAAGAGGAATGGAAGAGCAGCAGACCAGAAAAGAGCTTAGGGCTAGGGAGATGGGCAGCCCACCACATACAACATGGCCCCAGAGACCCCATGAGCCAATAGAAGCGGGACAGAGGCCTCCTCTAGAGGTCTGGGGACAGATAGATGGCAGGGGGTTTTGATCTGCTGTCACAAGCTGGAGGCTGGAATCCTGAAAAGGGCTGTCAGGGTGGGTTAGAGTGTTCCCAGAACCTAACTGGGGAGGGGGCCAGGCCTCAAACATAGTCTCACTCCCCCAGCCCACCCCCAGGCCATCACATATACATGAACCACCCACCAAACCCTGCCCACTCTCCCTAGTGAGCACCTATGAGTGGGAAGGTAACTGCTCAACCCAGTCACATCTCTGTCCACCAGGACTCCACTAGCCCCTATAATACAACAGGCCTGCACCAGTGCTGCAAAGTGCTGACAGGGGAGACAGTGGAGACAGTGGAGACAGGGTGATAGTGCCTCCAGAGCTGAAAACCAATTCAAGTCACTGCCTACTTAAGTCACCGGGGCTCTTTTGGCCCTCAGGATAAAGCCCTGCCTCCTGACCAAAGTTCAAAGGCCTACTCAGGACCCCTGTCCTAGTCTCAGCTCCTCTTCACCTTCTTGAAATCAAAGCAAACCAAACCCACTGCCATTGAGTAGATTCCAACTCACAGTGACCCCCATTGGGTTTCCAAGGTGGTAAATCTTCATGGAAGTAGATTGCCCCGTCTTCCTTCCACAGAGTGGCTGGTGGGTTTGAACCGCCAACCATCTGGTTAGCAGTCAAATACCTTAGGCACTGCGCCACCAGAGCTCCTCTCTAGGCCTTTGTGTATCTGGCTGCCTTAGCCAAGGCTAGCCTCAACCCCCTTCCCTGGAAGCCTCTCTGGCCCTTGGTCTGACCTGGGTGCAGACAGGCCTTGATGCTCCCACAGTGCCCTGTGCTCTCCCCATTACAGCACATACGGTTGTGTTGTTGCTTTACTAATCTTCCTCATCTCCTCATTCACTAACTTTTTGCACCACGAGGGAACAGTTGTGTCAGTCATATTCACCATTGTGTCCCCAGCACGCAGAACGGCAGTCAGAAGGAGCTCAATAAATGTATGCTGAGTTTATAAAATGAATTAATAACAGCCTTCGAGGAGCTCCCAGCTTAGAGGGGGAGATAAACCAGATACATGAAAACATCCGTGCCAGGCAAATCAAAGCAGGCTTTATAGGAAGTCGGTGCCAGATGAGGGCTCCAGACCAGAAGAATGATGAGTGTGCATTGAGAAGGAGCAGGTCGGGTTTCTGCAGACCTTCAGAGCTCAGCAGAAAGCACAGATCATCTAGACTAATGATTTTCAAGTGGCTTCAACAATAACAAGGTGAAGTCAGAGCTGTTCTAGGAGATGTGGGGGTGGGGCAGGAGGCTGGAGTCTAGCACTGCTGCCCCAAGGGACTCCTCAGTCACCTATTTCACCCTTAGAGTACAGTCTGAAAACCACCCACTCAAGAGGAAGTGGGAAGAGAGCTATTACATTGTGGGGATTGCAATCAATGTCATGAAACAAAATGTGTATGCACTGTTGAATGGAAAATGAATTTGCTCTGTCATTTTTCACCCAAATCACAATACAAAGTTTAAAAAAAGAAAAGAAAACCACCCACCCAAGACCTGCTTTCACAGTTAAGGAAACTGAGGTCCAGGCAGGAGAAGCCTCGCTAGTGCCTTTTCCACCAGAGGGTCAGCCACTAAAGGAGGAGCTCTGAGCTGGTCTGAAAGTAGACAGTTTCCAAAGATGAAAACGGGAGGGAGGGCAAGGGAAGCTGGTGGGTGCTTCCTCACCTCTTGGTTCAACCACAGCAATCGGTTCTCAACATTGGTGCTCATCACAACCACCTGAGGAACTTTAAAAATGGCACATGCATGGACCTCACCTCCAGAGATTCTGCTATAATTGGTTTGGGATGTAGCCTGGGCCTACTGTCCCCCATCCCAATAGCTCTCCAGGTGATTCTAATATTCAGCCAGGTTTTGAGTCACTAATTCCAGGGATAACTGAAGGGTGTTGGTTTGAAACAATGAGACACTCCACAGGAGAAAGTTGTGGCAGCCTGCTTCCATAAAGATTACAGTCTTAGAAACCCGAAGGGACAGTTCCACTCTGTCCTACAGAGTCACTATGAATTGGAATCAATCAATGGCAATGAGTTTTGGGTTGGAGTTCCACCCCAGATCCATGGAGTGGAACCCTCCAGTGTGGGGCCTGAGGATCTGCATTTGTAAATATTTAGCTGCTGCTTGTTTAGCGTTGGGGCCTACAGGACTGGAGGAACCACCAGCCTACCTCAGGCCCCTGGGAGGGTGATACTGTCACCTTCAGACCATGGGATGTCACAGTTGGAGGAGCCCCCAGAAGTCACTGACTTCAAACAGGCCCTTTCCATTCTGTGAATGGGGAAACTGAGGCTCAAAGAGGGGGCCTGGTATGCCTAGAGTCCCATAGCAACTCTGGGCCTGGCCCACATTTGTCCTGCCAGGCATTCAGTGAGCACACTCATCACTGTGGAAGGAAGGAAGGAGTGATGGACATTTGGCTTTCCTTTCTTCTTGACTCTTCTAAGTGCTAGGGTTCCATCATTTGATCCCCTCCTTCCTAGACCATCTGACATTTATCTCTCCAATCAAAAAAGATTATGTGTCTGTCTTTCAGCTGGAGAAGGAATCTGAACCTAGGGGAGCTGCTCAGTTAATGGTGGAACTGCACAGAACAGAGGGAAAATACTAACTTGGCTGGAGAGGAAGGATGCAGTCAATCACCCTGCAGTGCCTGGCCCCTGACCATCCACTGGGGAAGAAGGCCACCCAGGGATCCATGGGCCAGCCAGGTGGTCAGTCCATATCTGGAGACACAACATTCCTGATGTGTGGATCCTTCCAGCCCACCCACAGGGAGGCCAGTGCCCTGTGTGCTTGACTAATCAAAAGGCCCCACAGAGATGACCTGAGACCTTATCCTCGTCACTGGACTTGAAGGGATGGGGGAGCCCCCACTGTGGGTCTGTTCCCTCACAGTCCTCCTGGCTGGCTTCTTGGCCAAGGTCCTCGCTTTTCTGCAACAGCTGAAGGTAGGAGCAGCCTTTGATCTACTCCTAAATCTCAGATCAGTCAGGGGTGCAGTCCTGTGAGGTTCTCACACAGAAAATAAGAGCACAGAGTTATGCATCAAAGATTCAGAGTCAGATCAAACTGGCTTCATTCCTGGTGCAGCCACTGACTCACTGGCTATATGAACCTCTCTGGCCTCAGTCTCCTCATCAGCAAAGTGGGGACAATAATAGCTACCTTGCAGAAGTAAGAAGACCTAATTGAATACCTTTAGACTGAGGGACTGGCACAAAGAAGGTATTCAATATATGTTAGCACTGCTCACCTCTCCCTGCACCATTTTAGCTACATGGGGGTTACTCTGTTGAAAGATTGATTCCCTCTAGGACAAAGCATAGACTGATGAACCCAGATGAAGCAGAAGTAGGTGAGGAGGGAGACCAAGTGCATTTTCCCACCTCCCGAACTTGGCAGCAGCACACACTGCTTCTGGCTTCAGTTCAAGAGTCACTTCATTCTCCTTTTGTCCTTCCTTCCCCCAGGACCAGGCTTCTCCTGACCTCAGGGACCAATATTAAGCAGTCTCAGTGATTATGGAAAGGTGTCCCAAGCTTTCTGATGGTCGGAGGACAGGAGAAAGGAATAAATGCCAACTGCCCTGTCGTTGTTGTTAGGTGCTGTCAAGTTGGTTCTTACTCATAGCAGCTCTATGTACAGCAGAATGAAACCTTGCCGGGCTTGCACCATCCTCACAATCACTGCTATGTTTGAGGCCATTGCTGCAGCCATCTCATTTGAAGATCTTCCTCTTTTTGGCCGATGCTTTACTTTACCAAGCATGATGTCCTTCTCCAGGGACTGCTCCCTCCTGATAACATGGCCAAAGTACATGAGACAAAGTCTCACTATCCTCCCTTCTAAGGAGCATTCTAGCTGTACTTCCTCCAAGACAAATTTGTTTGTTCTCTGGCAGTCCGTGGTATTTTTAATATCCTTTGTCAATACCATAATTCAGTGCAACAATTCCTTAGTCTTCCTTAGTCATAATCCAATTTCTGCATGCATATGAGCAATTGAAAATATCATGGCTTGAATCAGGCACACCTTAGTCCTCAAGGTGACATCTTTATTTATTAATTCTTTAAAGAGATCTTTTGCAGCAGATTTACCCAGTACAATACGTTTGATTTCTTTTTTAATTTTTATCATTATTTGGGTGAAAGTTTACAGAGCAAATTCATTTTCCATACAGCAGTTCATATACATTTTGTTTCGTGATGTTGACTGCAATCCCCCACAATGTAACAGCTCTCTTCCCATTTCCTCCCTGTAGTTACCTTTTCTCTCTGTCCTTCTTTCCTATGCATTCCTGCCCCCTGAGCTATCTCCCTGGGCAAACACTACCCTTCTGTTCTCCCATGATCGATTGCTCTAATAAGTGTATCTAACTGACATAAATGTTCACCCCATATGCCTGTCTATTGTTTGGCTGGAAGCCTCGGGAGTGAGTTCAATTCCAGACTTGAAGGGTAACTAGGGGCCACAGTCTTGGAAGCCTCACTAGGCTCTATCAGACCAGTAAACCTGGTCTCTCTCTTTTTTTTTTTTTATGATTTTGAGGTTTTTTCTACATTGTTCTCCCACTTTATCTAGAATCTTCTGTACTGATCCCTTTCCAAGTGGTTGACAGTGGTAGTCAGGTACTATCTAGTTCTGGTCTCATGGTCATATAGGCTGAGGTTTGCACAATCTACTAGTCCCTTGGACTAATTAATTGTTTCTATGTGTCTTTGCTTTTCTTCATTCTTCTTTGCTTTGCATGAGGAGAGACCCATTTTTGCACCTAGATGATCATTTACAAGCTTTTAAGACCCCAGTTGCTACTCACCAAAGTAGGATGTAAAACCATGTTTTTGTGTAGTATGTTATGCCAATTGAGCTTGATGTTCCCTGCAACCATGGTTCCACAGGTCCAACTACTTGCTCCCTCAGGGTGGTTGGCTGTGGCTAAGAAGTTATCATAACTTTGCCGTTTGTTAATTCTATTATATATTTGGACATTCTTATAGCACATACAAATACATGTGTAGAAATATTGCCTGCCAATCTTACATGTGGTCATGGGTATATTCCCTTTTGCCTAGACATACCTGATCCTTCAGCCAGTCTACCCATCTATTTACCTGTAGGTTAATGTTTCTTATCATTGATAATACAGTATTATAAATGTAAAAGGGTTTATCTTTGTTGTCTGTACCTCTTGTGCACTTCTCTGTATCTTCTTTTTCCTCAGTGTTATCGTGTTGGTCACTTGCTTTTGGTACATTGCCTTTCCCTTCACCAAAATCAGTACTTGTCTCTACCTGTCTAGCAGTGTTGCCTCCTCTCCCCTCCCATCCCTGGTAGCCAAAAAAGAAAGTTTCCTTCCATATATAAACCTTTCCTTGACTTTTTACAATAATGAACTAATACAATATTTGTCCATCCTCCAAGATCATCCACGTTATGCAGTGTTTTGCAGATTCTACATTATTCTTTAGTGTTGCATTGTATTTCATTGTGTGTATGTACCATAGTTTGGTTATCCATTCTTCTGTTGATAGGCACTTAGGTTGTTTCCATCTCTTTGCTATAATACGTTTGATTTCTTGACTGCTGCTCCCAGAGGCATTGATTATAGATCTAAAAGAAAAAAAAAATCCTTAACAACTTCAATCTTTTTTCCATTTATCGTAATGTTGCTTATCAGTCCAGTTGTGAGGAGTTTTGTTTTCTTTATGTTGCGGTGTGATCCATACAGAACACTGAAGGCTTTGATCTTCATCAGTAAGTACTTCAAGTCTTCTTCACAATCAGCAAGCAAGGTTATCTGCATATTGCGGTTGTTAATGACTCTCCCTCCAATCCTGATGCTATAGTTCAGCCTCTTAGATTATTTGCTTATCATATAGACTGAAAACTGACACACAGCTTTCCTGATTTTTAAAACCATGCAGTATCACCTTGTTCTGTTCAAACAACCGTCTCTTGGTCTATAACAGGTTTCACAGGAGCACAGTTAAGTGTTCTGGAATCCCCATTCTTCACAATGTCATTCATAATCTGTTATGATCCACAGAGTCCAATGCCTTTTCATAGTCAATGTTGTTGTTGTTATTATGTGCCGTCGAGTCAGCCCCGACTCATAGCGACCCCTCCTTGGGTTTCCGAGGCAGTATCACTACGGAAGTAGGATTGCCCAACAACACAGGTAAACATCTTTCTGGTATTCTCTACTTTCAGCCAAGATCCATCTGACATCAACAATGATATCCCTCATTCCATGTTCTCTTCTGAATCTGGCTTGAATTTCTGGCAGTTCCCTGTTGATGTACTGCTGCCACCATTTTTTAATTATCTTCAGCAAAATTTTCCTTGCGTGTGATATTAATGATATTGTTTGATAATTTCCACATTCTGTTGGATCACCTTTCTTTGGAATGGGCTTAAATAGCAATCTCTTCCAGCCAATTGGCCAGGTATCTGTCTTCCAAATTGCTTGGAATAAGCAAAGAGCACCTCCAGTGCTGTGTGTTTGCTGAAATATTTCAATTGGTACTTCATCAATTCCTCGTGGGCTTGCTTTTCACCAGTGCCTTCAGTGCACCTTGGACTTCTCTCAATGCCATCAGTTCCTGATCATGTTACCTCATGAAATGGTTGAACATTGACCAATTATTTTTGGCACAGTGATTCTGTATATTTCTTCCATATTCTTTTGATGGTTTCTGCAACATTCAATGTTTTTCCCATAGAATCCTTCAGTATTGCAAGTCAAGCCTTGAATTTTTTTCTTCATTTCTTTCAGCTGGTGTTCTGGTTACCTAGTGCCACTCTGACAAGAATATACCACAAATGGGATGGCCTTAACAAACAGGAGTTTATTCTCACAGTTTGGTGGCTTTAAGTCCAAGTTCAAAGTGCTAGGCTCTAGGGGCTGGGTGAATGCCCCTCAACCTCAGGGTCCAGCTCTGCCTCCTGCTCCCGGACTGCTGGAGCTAGAGGCGTTTCTTCACTCAGACAGCTGCTGGCTGCTAAGGCTGACAAGCCCAAGGTTGACAAGTGAAAAGGCACAGTCCCAATGTTACCAAACCACATGGCAGGCCATTAATTTAAATCCATTGTAAGTCCCAAGATTGGCAGAGCATGGAAGGCTACTGAACAACAACACGAATACATGCAGGATCCAAGCGTGCCATAAGCTAGAGACTATCCCCAAGGCTTCTCCTTATATACCGGAAGCACATCCCAAAGGCTTGTGGTAGATCCCACCATGGAGTTGATTGCCAGTCTCATCATGGGGAATAACTACCACCAGCTGCCCAGCCATTCAACCAGGCCCAGCTAAGTTGACATACAAATTTAACTACCACAGCTTGATAAATGCTGAGCGTTTTCTTCCCTTTTGGTTTTCTAACTCTAGGTTTATGCACTTTTCATAATACTTTGTTTTCTCAAGCTGCCCTTTGAAATGTCTTTATGAGTGTCCATCAGTCTTCCAATAAGAATGTGAACTCTTTGAGAATGGAATCTGAGTGTGGTGGACACTGTAATGCACCTTCCAGATCCGCCTTCAGTGAAGGACCTGTTGCCCCAGATGCTGGGAGAGTTAAGCTATCTGACTCTTCAGGGATTGCTTCAGCTTCAGAGAATCACTTCTCTTGTCATTCCTCTTCCCAGGGGGTGATTGAGGCAGGAGTATAAAGGCCTGACCATCTCAGCCCCACTCAGGACAACTCTGCAGGGTGACATATGCGGCAGAGCTGTAAGGTTGGCTGAAGCTCCTGTTGGGCCGGCATCCCAGCTCAACTTCTCCCTCTGCCCATATTCCTGTTTCTGTCCCCTCCCTCCCACAGGACTGGATACCCATGATCTCTTTAATAAACATCCTGAATGTCAAACTCCATCTGTGTTCATTTCTTGAGCAACACAACCTGTAACACTGGGTTTTACATACCTTTGATTTCCACATAGCTCCCAGCGTCATCTAAACACACCCACTGCCATCGGGTTGATTCTGACTCATAGTCACCCTTTAGGATACAGTAGAATTGCCTGATAGCATTTCCAAGACTGTAAATCTTTACATAAGCAGACTGCCTCATCTTTCTCCTGCAGAGCTGCTGGTGGGTTCGAACTGCTGACCTTTTGGCTAACAGCAAAATATTTTAACCACTAAACCACTAGGACTCCCTTCTAAACACCTAGGAGAGGCATAATTACTCATTGATTAGGTGGATTGATGGGTGAATGGAAAGCCAGAGAGATCACAGTGGGTATGAATGAACTGTTCATTGAGGGAAGTGGTTAAAGCTGCACCAGCCAATACGGTAGGCACTAGCCACATGTAGGAGCTCTGGTGGCATAGTGGATAAGGGATTTGGTTACTAATCAGAAGGTTAGCAATTCAAACCCACCAGCTGCTTCATGGAAGGAAGATGGGTGATCTAGTTCTGTAAAGATTCACAGCCTCAGAAACCCAGTGGGGGTTGCTATGAGTCAGAATCAACTTGATGGCAGTGAGTTTGGTTTTGGTTTTGAGCCACATGTAGCTATTTAAATTAAAATTAATTACAATTAAATAAAATTTAAACTTCAGTTCTTTAAGTGCTCAATAACTTCATATGGCTAGTGTCTATTGGATTGGACAGCACAGATACGGAACATCTCTATCATTGCAGAAAGTTCCATTGGACAGTGCTGGAGAGATTCCTGGCTACGCAAAGCACCAGGCCCTTGTACTTGGGGCAGAGTTCTAGGACAGGATTAAAACTCCCCAGGTGGGCATGGAGATTCTTGATAAATACCCATGAAAAAGGTAGCATTAGGGTCAAGAAATTTGCTCATGACTCCTGATGATGATGGCTATGCTAAGGTTAAGGCCATACTAGGGTTCTGCCTCTAAAGAGAAGAAAATCAAATTCAAGTTAAAGATAAAAATATGTGGCCACTCAGTTGGCTACAGCTCCACAGCCCCCATGTCTACGTTCCCCACTCACCTGGCTCAGGCTCTGCCTCCCCGTCTTCTGCAGAGCCATGATGGCCCTATGCAGGGGATACCCCAGAGCAACCACAGGTCCGATGAGGTCTTGTTCCTCCTGACTCAGGGCAGACAGTAGGTCAGCCGTAGAATCAGAGTGTGAACAGTGGGAGCTGAGAGGCTGGGGCATCTTCCCAGGGGGTGGCAGGCAGGTGTATGGGCTGAGGGACTGAAATAAAGATAGGCTGGACATGTCAGTTACCACAGGAGATGACATCCTGCTGGGCTGGACATTTTAAAAGGCACCTTTTCATACAACTTTCTATACAGAATATAGGGACTAATATTGTGAAAGTCTTGGAATCTCACAGACCCAGGTTCAAATCCCAGCTCTCTACCACTTACTTAGTTCACTCATATGTAAAATGGAAGCAATCATCATAGCTACCTCAAAAAGTTGTTGTGAGGCTTAAGTAAGACAATGTGAATAAAGTGATTAGCAAAGTGCTTGGAATACAGTAAATGCTAATATTTCATTTACAGCTTCTAACAACCCTACAAGAGAAATATCACAGACAGGTCTATGCTATTATCCCATTTGCTAGATATTGAAATCTAGGTTCAGAAAAGTTAATGACTTGATAAGTCACACACATTTTGGACTGAAACCATATTCAGAATCAAAGTCAAGGGCTCTTATCTCCTATCTTGGTATAACATGGATTTTCCCAGCCAGACCCTCCTTCTTGAGTTTGACTGGGGTGGGGCTTGGCAGGGCATGGAACAGTATAGGGACTGGGCACACCTATCCCTCAGTTGCGGTGCTGAGAAGACTCAAACAAACAGATCCTGGACTAAGGAGGATGGCTTGGAAGTGCTCCAGTTGATTTAGTTAGCATCATCTTCAACTTATCTCCCATGAGGAAGTACCATCTGCCAACCCTGAACACACTAACCTTCCCCCTTTCATTCCCAAGGGAAGCCTAGCTGTTGTACTGGTTCTTGGGGTTGAAGGGTGTGTGTGTGAATTCCCCACATATCCCCACCTTCTGAGGGATTTCCTTGGCATGGCTCCATCCTAAGGTCTTCCCTTCACTCCCAGGGTGGAGAAACACCCAAATCTTAGCAACTGAGTCTACTCTTGTGATCTTGAAAAAGATCCTGCGGTAAAGTGAATTACTTAAAATATGGCTCTTCTAGCCATATTTGGGAGCTCTGGTGGCATAGGGCTAAGGCATTTGACTGTGAACCAGAAGGCTGGTGGTTCAAACCCACTCCTCGAAAGGAAGATTGGGCAATCTACTTCTGTAGTGATACTGCCTCAGAAACCCAAGGAGGGGTGGCTATGAGTCAGATCCAACTTGACAGCAGTGAGTTTTAGCCATGGTCTTTGTGACTCCTGCCAGATGACTGGGTGGAACTATGCACATGTGAGATGCTGTGGTCCACAAAAAGGATTGGATAGTTTATTAATGTAATAAGATACATGGCACCCTTGTGAGGTGGACTGTGCAGATAAGGTGTATGGAACCCTAACGTGGGGACTGGTCAGTTTTGCCATCCACTAGGCTTAAAATGAACCATTTCAGAAGCAGAAGACAGGATCTCACTACCATCAACAGAGAAGAGCCAGAAGTAGAGCATGTCCTTGAACCAGAGATCCTATGCTAGACCTCCTTGGCAGAGAGACGGCAGAGAGACATCACTAAAAGAGCTTTGTACCACTTGCTGGAGCAGGGCAGGGGCCACAGGGTCAAGAGGCTTTGGGCCAAAGAGAGGTGTGCCTATGGGAATGGCCAAGGGATGGTTGTCTTGATTGAAGAATTGTATCCTGAGCATTCTTAAACCTGAACCTGTTACTTCCCTAACAAACCCCATAATTGTGAATATTGTCTGTGAGGTCTATGTGGCCATAGCAATGAATTATCAAACCCAGCAGAGAAGTAGAGACCACCATGGGAAGGATGGTTGGTTGTCAGAATTGGTAAAAAGGTTGGAGGGTGGCATCATGTCTCACTTCGGCCTCAAAGGAATCAGCCTTGGGCTGATGCTGCTGGTGGTGATTCTGTCTCCCACTTCTGAAGTTAAGAGGAGGTCAGAAAAGGATGCCGCCTCCACACCCTTTTTGCGTATCCTTAGCCTCTCCCTGCCTCGGTTTCCTTATCTACAGAACAAAAATGGCATTTTCTCCTTCCTCACACAGGGTTGTTATTGAAAGTTAAATTTAATCTCAACCAGGGAAGAAACTGGCATCAATAACCAGCCCCTGATGTGGGCATGACCTGTCCAGTTTATAGAGCTTCTTCTCCTCTGTGATGTTTGCTCTAAACAACTATGTGAGGTGTTACTAGGCCCACTTTATAGGTAGAAAAGGGGTGGCTCAGAGAGGTTCAGCAACTTGCTCAAGGTCGCATTGTGAGTGAATAGGAACAGAGAGATCTCAAGCCTGTCTTCTGAATTTCATTTCACCTTGGTCATATTCTATTACATCTCTTGGCCTACCTGGGGTTGCTGAGGGGTGGGAATAGGCAGAAAGCTATACCTAACTGCCACCTCCTGCTACCAGTACTGACCTGCTCATGCAGACATGATATAGGCTTTGCGGAATCTGATACTTACACAGTTTGAGCCCTCTTAAAGAAAAAGGACACACACTTATGATACAAAATTAGGTACAAAGCCCTAGAAGGTACAAAGTGAGGGGACTGCTTCAGCTTCATTGGCTTCATCAAAAGCTTACTTCTGCTCCCAGGGTTATTACTGATCCACTTCCTCTGTTCTGAAGCCACCTTAGCATACAATAGCCCCAACCTCTCTGTCAATGCTTGACCCATCCATCACACAGCTCTGGGCCTTGTCTCACTCTCCCTTGCCCAGCTCTCTCTGTCTTGTGGTTTTGGCCCTGTCTCTCCCAACACAGGGTCTGATTAGAAGTGACTGTGCAGTGAATATTCTTTGATTGAGCCTCCACCCATCCTAGAGCAAACCTCCCCCAGTGGGAATCCCTAGATTTGAGACACATTCATAAATTCAGCAGACATTCATTGAGCACCCCCTATGGGCCAAATCTGTCTCTGCGCACTCTGGAAACTGACTGCGATCCAATTCCCGCCCCAACGTAACTCATATTCCAAGCAAAGGGCCGCACGAAGGGCCGGGTGGACGCAGGTAAGAATGGGAGGAGGAGCAAGAAGAGAAGATCGAGGCTATCGACCCGGCTGGGAACCCAGATAGCGGGGCCTTGGCTGGTGGAGCAGGCAGAGTCCTTACCGGGACTGTGGGCTTGTGGCTCCTGAGTGGGGGCATGGCGCCGGCCGTGGAGGGCCGCGGGAGCGGTGCGGGGGCGCTGGGCGGCTGGGGCGCGGGGCCCAGGGGCGGCGCGGGGCTCGGGCAGAGGCTTAGCGCGCGGTGGCCACGGAAGCGGTGCAAGAGGGCGCGGGTGCCTGCGGCCAGCCTTCCCTCTGAGAGCCGCCGCCGAGCACCAGCCAGCTCCGACCTCACCTCGCGCAGCACGTCCAGGGAGCACAGGCGATGGCCCGGCCCGGGGCTGGCCGGGGAGCTGGGCTGGGGACCGCAGGGGTCCGGCTCCTCGTCGCTGGTAGAGGAAGCTTCTTCATCCTTCTTCTCCTCCTCTTCCTCGGAATGCTCCTGGGATCCAGTCTCTGGGCTTTGGGCTGCAGCAGGCTCAGGCACTGGCCTGTACTCGGGGCTGACCAGCAACAGCCACGCGGGTGGGGCTGACGCTATTCCTGGGCCACTGCATTGGCACAGGTAGGGTCCACGGACGGCGGCTTCCACCCAAAAGAGTGCCTTCCTCTCCAGGCTGAAGTCGTGCTGCGGAGAGTAGCCAATGTGAGGACTTGGGCACCGAATAAATGATTAAAGAAAGACTGGAGCAAAATAGGGAGGTAGTGAAGGACCAACCCCCCCCCCCCCAAAAAAAAACCCACAACCCACTGCCATCCAGTGTATTCCAACACATAGTGACCCAAATCCTTATAACTTCAGTTTGAGAAAAGAGTAATTCTCACTCTGAATCAAAATCCAGAAGCCATAAAACATACACACAACCTGCATGGCAAATGCATCCCATAAGCAAGGACAAAAGACAAATGACAAACTGGGGGAAAATAGCACTCACACACATCACAGAGAATGGCTAAGTTCACTAATGTGGAGAGTGCCTAGAAATAGATAAGAAAAATGACCAACAGTCCAACAGAAAAATGTGCAAAACGTGTGGATAATCCATAGAGAAGGACAAAAATGGCTCAAATGTCTGAAAAGATGCTCATCATAATGGAAATGCAAAGTAAATATACATTGAGACATCATTTTCAAGCATCCCTTAGGGAAGATCTGAAGTCTGATGACACTCTTTTGGGGAGTCTGTGAGGCACAGGCACTCTTGTAATATTGTTGGTTGGGATGTGAATCCATCCAGACTCCATGGGGGCAATTTGGTAATATACTCACACACATTCAAAAGGACATTTGTATATGGTTATTGCAGCATTGTTTGTAAAGCCAAACCAAACTCACTCTCCCTCAAGTTGGATTCAACTCATAGCAACCTCTCCTTGGGTTTCCAAGGCCGTAACACTAGGGGGAGTAGATTGCCCAATCTTCCTTCCTTCCAAGGAGAGGCTGGTGGGTTTGAACCACCAGCCTTCTGGTTAGCAGTCAAATGCCTTAGGCACAACTGTAAATAATCTAGTAAATGTCCATCAAAAGGGGACTAGTTTAATAATAATATGTCTATATAATGTAATACTACACAGTGGAAGACCAATTGTTCTATGTACTGATAGGGAAAAATCTCAAAACATACTAAGTGAAAAAGGCAAAAAAGAATAGCAAGTATACAATCTACCTTTTAGCCATATAGAACCAGTCCAAAGGACTAATGGACCATGATAACTTCAGCCTATATGACCCTGAGACTAGATGAACTAGATGGTGCCTGGCTACCAATGCCAACTACTCAGAAAGGGATCAAAATTGGAGATCCTGAATAGAGTGGGAGAAAAATGCAGAACAAAACTCAAAATCATAAAAAAAGACCAGGCTCAAAAAAGACCTGGCCTGATAGAGATTGGTGCAACCCCTAGTATTATGGCCCCAAGTCACCCTTTGGACCTGGAATTGAACTCACTCCCATGGCTTAACTCTCAGCCAAAAAATAAGCCTATGTGCTGAACATCTACTCCCTAGATCCATGGGAGATGAGTAGGGAAGCATTTGCACAAGGAGAAAGGTAGGGAGGCAGGAATGCAAAAGTAAGAAGGAAACAGGGAAAAGATAACCACAGGGAGGAAGTGGGAAGAAAGCTGTTAACTGTAGGGAATATAGCCAGTGTCACAAAACAAGAGTGTGTCCAAACTGTTGCATGTAAAACGAATGTTTTTTAAACTTTAACCCAAATCACAGTAAAAAAATAAAAATTTACCTTTTATGTGAAAAAGGAGGAAATAGTTGTATTTGCTTATATATACACACATAAGAATCTCTGAAAGGATATATAAAAAAATAACAGTAAGGGAGTAGGGTGGGGAACTGAGCAGATAGGGATATATCAGAGGGGGACTCTTCCCTCTACCAAAACAAACAAACAAACAAAAAAACCTACCAGGGGTAGGTAAACTGCCTGTGGGTCAAATCTACCCCCATTTACCCAATTTTTGTAAATAAAGTTTTATTGGAACACAGTAACTCCCACCCATTTCTTTCCATATTATCTTTTACAATACAATCAGCAGAGTGGAGTAGTCTTTTTCTTTTTTTAAATTTTTTATTGTGATTTGGGTGAAAGTCTACAGAGCAAATTCATTTCCCATACAGCAGTTCATACACATTTTGTCTCATGATATTGACTGCAACTCCCCACAATCTAACAGCTTCTCCTCATAGTTACCTCTTCCCTGTGTCCTTCCCTCCTATGCACTTGTGCCCTCTGTCCATACACTACCTCTCTGTTCTCCCATGATGGATCTCTGTAAGGAGTGTGTCTACCTAATGTGAATAATGTTCAGCCCATATGCCTGTCTTTTATTTGGCTGGAAGCCACAGGAGTGAGTTTAATTCCAGACCTGAAGGGCAACTAGGGGCCATAGTCATAGGGTTTCGCCAGGCCCTATCAGACCAGCAAACCTGGTCTTTTTTTTTTTTTTTTAATTATTTTGAGTTTTGTTCTACATTGTTCTCCCACTCTATCCAGAATCTCCTCCTACACGAATATCCCTCCGAATGGTTGACAGTGGTAGCCGGGCACCATCTAATTCTTCTGATCTCATGGTCATATAGGCTGAGGATCGCATGGTCTACCAGTCCCTTGGACTAATTGTTTCTAGGCGTCTTTGGTTTTCTTCATTTTCTTTGCTCTGGATGAAGAGATACCCATCATTGCATCTAGATGGCTGCTTGCAAGCTTTTAAGATCCCAGTCATTACTCACCAAAATAGGCTGTGGAACAATGTTTTTGTGTAGTATGTTACACCAATTGAGCCTGATGTCCCCTGGGACTATGGTCTCGAGCCCATAGGTCCAACTACTCACTCCCTCTGGGTAGCTGGCTATGGCCAAGAAGTTACCACAACCTTGTCCCTTGTCAGCTCTACTATATACCTGGACATCCTTACAGAACATACAAATATGCTTGTAGAAACATCGTCTACCAACCCTATACATGGTCATGGGCAAACTCCCCACTGCCTAGACATACCTGATTGTTCAGCCTGTCCACCCATCTATCAACCTGTGGTCAACGTTTGCTACTGACAACACAGTATGTGCAAAGGATTCATCTTTGTTGTCTGTATCTCCCATATACCTCTCTATGTCTTCTTCTTCCTCAATGCCACTGTGTTGATCATTCACATTTGGTGCATTGCCCTTCCCTTCACCCAAATCAGTACTTGTCTCTACCTATCTAGCAGTGTTCCCTCCCCCCCCCCCCCCCGAACAAAGGAAGTTTTGTTCCATATATAAACCTTTCCTTGACTTTTTACAATAGCAGATTAATATAATATTTGTCCTTCTGTGATGGATTTATTTTAAGAATTGAGTAGCCTTGACGGAGTTTTTATTATCTGGCCCTTTACAGAAAAAAATTGCCAACTCCTATTGTATACCCCTTTATATCCTTGTCATTTTTTAATCACGTGGATGTATTTTCTCTAAAAAAAAAAAAAAAAAATTAAGAGAAATTAACTCCAATTAAAGGGAAACTATAAAACAACAAAAGCATCATAGTCCTCCCAAAGCTTTAACTATAGAAGGAAATGCTCTTTGAGAATTTAGCAGGGTAGAGGAGATGAGCATGAGCTTTGAGATCTGATAGACTCATATTGGAGTCCTGGCTGTGTTACTCACAAGCCTTGTGACTCTTGGGGGTGTCACTTGGGTGGGAGCTTTGATTTCCTGTACCAAAGGTAGGAATACTTACCTGCTAAAATGGTCATTGCAAGGATAAGCAAAAAGAGTGAATGGATGAAAAGTACCTGGCATGGAACTGGTGAATAGTAGGTGCTCAATAAATGGTAGCTGTGATTACTTTTCCCTTTTAGGCCCCTGTAGGTTCAGCTTATAACTTAACCACTATCTATAGCACCACTTATCTCTCAGTTTGTCGTACTGTGGTGGCTTGTGTGTTCCTGTGAGGCTGGAGGCTATGCCACTGGTATTTCAAATACCAGCAGGGTCACCTGTGTTGGACAGGTTTCAACAGAGCTTCTAGAATAAAACAGACTGTGAAGAAGGAAAAGGCCATACACTTCTCAAAGAATTGGCCAGTGAAAACCTTATGAATAGCAGTGAAACACTATCTGTTTTCCAGTCTGTTACTGGAAAACATTATGAATAGCCCTGAAACACTGTCTGATATAGTGTCGGAAGACGAGCCCCTCAGGTCAGAAGGCACTCAAAATATGACCGGCGAAGAGCTGCCTCCTCAAGGTAGAGTTGACCTTAATGATGTGGATGGAGTAAAGTTTTTGGGGCCTCCATTTGCTGATGAGGCATGACTCAAAATGGGAAGAAACAGCTGCAAACATCCATTAACAACCAGAGCATGGAATGTGTGAAGTATGAATTTAGGAAAATTAGAAGTTGTCAAAAATGAAAAGGAATGTATAAAGATTGGTATCCTAGGCATTAGTGAGCTGAAATGGACTAGTTTTGGCCATTTTGAATCAGACAGCCACGTGATTTACTATGCAGGGAATGATAAATTGAAGAGGAATGGCGTGGCATTCATCATCACAAAGAACATTTCAAGATCTATCCTAAAGTACAATGCTGTCAGTGATAGAATAATACCCATACATTTACAACAAAAACTAATTAATACTACTATTATTAAAATATAGGCACCAACCACCAAAGCCAAAGATGAGGAAATGAAAGATTTTTTTACCAACTTCTGCAATCTAAAATTGACCAAATATGCAATCAAGATGTATTGATTATTACTGGTGATTGGAATGCAAAAGTTGGAAACAAAGAAGAATCACCAGTAGTTGGAAAATATGGCTTTCCTGATAGAAATGATGCCACAGATCACATTAAACACTTCTGCAAGACCAATGACTTATTCCTTGCAAATACCTTTTTTCAACGATATAAACAGAGGCTATATACCTCGACCTCACCAGATGGAATACACAGGAATCAGATTGACTACATCTGTGGAAAGAGGTGGTAGAGAAGCTTAACATCTTCTGCCAAAACAAGGCCAGCAGCTGACTGTTGAACATACCATCAACTATTCACATGTAAGTTCAAGTTAAAGCTGAAGACAATTAAAAGAAGTACACAAGAGCCAAAATACGACCTTG